AGTTTTCAAATTTAGAGTTCTTAAATATTATGCTAGTGTCATCTGCATATAGAATTGGTTTAGATTTATTGTTGATGGTTTTAGATAGATCGTTTATGTAGAGAAGAAAAAGTAAGGGACCTAAAATTGATCCTTGTGGAACATCGTGCCTTATAATTCCCCAGTTTGAAAATGCATTATGACTGGAGTTTTTATTATTTATTTCAACTCTTTGATACCTGTTTTTGAAAACGTTGTGGGAGTCTACAAGCAGATCATTGTTCTCATTCTTCGATGAGTTACTGCTATGTTGGTAACCTTTCTTAAACTCATTTATTCCTCTATACAGGTCTCCAATGTTCTTGTTCATACTGTTCATTATGTACTCATTAATTTTGCCTTTCAGATATTCACTATTTTTATTGGTGAAATGCCTCCTGGCTTTATGTCTTATATTCTTCAGATTATCAAAATTTATTTGGCTTGAATCCTGTAAACACTGCAATTTGGCTTAGTTTCTTTGATCTAATAATTTTGAGCATCTACTGTCGATCCATGGCTTATACTTCTTCGGTTCAAAATAACCTAGACTCTCTTTGGCCAAAATTTTGATATTCTCTGTAATATTATTAATTCTATTAATATCCATCTCTCAATCTAATTTTTCCAAATCTATGAACGAATTTGAGATTTCAACATGATACTGCTCTTTACCCTCTGCCACATTCAATATCCTGAGATTGAACTTGTCCATATGAAATCTGTGTGTTATTTGTTTACTCTCTCTGTTCTCTCTAACTTTTTCCGCCACCACCAGATAGTGATTGGTGTCACAATCTGCTGCCCTGAACAATCAGATGTCAAGTACACTTGAATTTACATTTTCTTTCTATCAAAACATAGTCAATTTGATTGTGAATCTTTCTGTCAGGAGAGGTCTAAGTAAATTTATGAATGTTACGATGTGGGAACATCATACTTTTGACAGATTTTTGGATGTGGCAAAGTTTACTACTCTGACTCCATTATCATTACTAATATCATGTAAACTCTCATTCATATTTGTTGGTTTGAAAATTCTTTTTCTGCTTTCTTTTGCATTGAAATCTCTTAACAAAATTTTCATATGGTATTTAGGCAATTCATCAAATTCACATTTTAGTTCCTTGCAAAAACTTTTCTTCATGTCATCACTTCTATCCTTTGTCTGGGCATGAACGTTCAGAACCACGATATGTCATCAGCGACCTTTTAATGTCATGTATGTCATCTTATCACTAACAAAGTCTACCCCTTAAGCTGCTGATATGATTCTCTTATGCAAAAAAAAAATGTACCCAATATGTGATTCTCATTCCCCTTTCCATAGAAAAGTATGTATTCACATGCTGGTTCATTGCCACCTCTGTCCCATCTGACCTCCTGTTCTCCCACTAAATCTAACTTATAATCTGATTGTTCTTTCACAACTGCCATGGGTGAACCTGTGCATCACAGACTTCTTACATTCTGTTTACCAAATGTCATGTCCATTTTGCTTAGCTTAGCATATTTATCCAAAGAATCTGTCCAAATCTGAGGCCCTTTGTGACGTTTCTTAACAGGCTTATTTTTTATGGTGCACCGTTTCTGTATATACATTATGCTGTCCAATGTACACATAACAAATTGATAACATGTTCAATATGTGTCTTTGAAATTTCTTCTCATAGGCAGAATATCGTATATATAGGAAACATTTTAAATGCGATATAAATACATTATTCTTATTGTATTACTTTGAGGACCCAATGATTTTATTTTTTTTTTAGGTGGGAAAGAATTTTAAACTTGATTTTGAATCTGTTTCAGTCAGCACATTCCATAAAGAAATTCTTAACCAGGCACAACTTTCTGTCAATTTCTTATCCACTGTATTGACCAGCTATAGGTCTGTATACGGTGCCCGAGCAGAAACATATCGAAAATGGAAACAGATTTATGGAAGTGCCAGAAATTAAGTGTGACATGAGAATTGAAGGTCTGGACAGAATATCAGAATATCAGAATATCAGAAGTGCTTCATATTCTGACATAATACGTAAAATCACTGAGAATAGTGAATGGTAGCATGCTGAGAGAGAGAGAAAATTGTTGTGATCTCTAGCTTTTCCCATTAAAATTTCAATCCCAAAATTTTTTGATCAGATCTCATATGTCTGAATTCTTCTTTGCCTTGGTTGTTATCCTATAATGTAACATGTGCTTCACTAATACCATGAGAGTCTATGAAGCTCAACAGCTTTAAATTAATTTATGAGTCGACTATATGAAGACTACACTACATAGTTTTCCTTGTTCCTTGAATCGATCAGGCATGTCATTGTAAGAATTTGCACTCCAGCTTTGTATGTGAGAACTGTGTGGCTCAAAGCTCAGCCAGGAGATTAACACTCCTGAGAATTCTAATGGTTTTATGAAGTCTGTCCCCCCAAAATGCCATGAGTGTATCTTAGAAAGTGGTCACAGCCACATTTCCTGCAGTTTCCTCAGATCATTATTTATGTTCAATTTAAATGGCAGTGTCCATTGACCTAATAATCAATCAGCAAATGCTGTTTTATCTAGTATTTTTATTCACTCTTTCTTCTGTTGTGATTTTATTTTCTTTGAATCCTTCAAATACAACAGTATCAACTGAGGATACAGTGTGCTACATATGTGCTATATCATTTTTATGCTTTTAACTGGAAAATTGCACTTCTATACCAGAACATTTCTGTTAATATTCACTACGTTTACCAGTTTATTCTTCTCACTGTTATGAATGATCATGGCTACTCTGTATGGAAAAGCAGGCTGTATGTTACCAATAGAACTGTTGTATTAGACACAGAGTTCTGTAATATGTGTATTTTTTTAGATTCTGCAGAAAGAAAGTAAGGAATTTGTATCTTAGATAAACATTAAGTTTTAAACATAATATATGCGAATGCACATGCATTCCTGTGCATACATCTGAATGTCTGAATATTCGTGAACTCTCATCCAGGGGATATATTTTTCTGACATTGGAAGTGTTAAAAGTACTTCAAAGAATAATAGTGCTGTTTCTCTCCATTAAGTGTATCCTACTGATAAATATGGCACAGTTTTTGGTTTTCTGAACTAGACATGTATCAGATCCAAAGAATGTTAGTGATATACTACAGTAGTAAATGTTCTTTGTATAGTCTCGGCCTGGAGGTCAACAGTGTGGAGTTACAGCAATGTCACTTCGACCCAAAGTAGAAAACATTTCAGAGACTGGGTCTAGTTTGGACAAAAGAAATGGTTCCAACTCGTCCTTAAATAGTTCAACATCATCTGGTGCCCGAAGCTGGGCAGACAAGGTCAAGGGTAAAGAAGCTTCACGGACAACTGTCTCGGTTGAAGTACTGCCAAGGACAGGAACTGGGAATGAGGATGGTGTGTATCTTGTGAACATTATTCTAGTTGTGGCTTATGCCTTCACTTAACAGGTTATTGATGTTCCTAGTGTCTGCCCACTTTAGCAGTGGTGAAGGAGACCACTTGTGAACAAGTTTGCTGTTGTGAACCTTTACCTAAATTATTAACTAACTTTACAGTTGGTCAGAATATGATGGCACTGGTGCATGAAAGTCTTAATACATTTTTAGATCTTTTTTAATAAATACTGGCCACTTTGAATAGTGTCAATGTGTAATCAGGCAGGTGGTCCAGTTCATGTATGTTTTCTTCATTTGAGGCGTTAAATTGACTTGAAAATTTGAAAGGAATTTTTTTTATTGCTAGTGGGGTGGGACTAAGTCCCTTGTACTGTGGCCATTTCTGGCCTATTGTACCAGCCCTAGATGATAAGTGAGGATGATTGTGGAGCAATTGGTGGAATGAAGTTTGGCAGGGGAAACTGAAGTACTCAGAGAAAACCTGCCCCAGCGCCACTTTGTCCACCACAAATCCCACTTGACCAGACCCGGGATCGAACCAGGGCTGCCGCGGTGGGAAGCCAGTGACTAACCGCTTGAGCTATGGCGCCCCCTTGAGAGGAAGAAACCATTTGAGAAACCTAGACATAGATGGGATAACTGTGTTAAGATGGATCTTAGAGAGATAAATTATGGAGATGTGGACTCGATTTGTGTGTCTCATAGTAGGGATTGGTGATGAATCTCTGGGTCCCATATAAAGTGGTTAAGTTCTTGACAAGCTGAGTAATGACTGCTCTAAGGAGTTAGTTATGCTTACATTTAATTTTTTGTTGCAGATGATACACAGGGCTGGGAGACTGTGAAAAGCAGATCCCGTTCACGTGTGTCTCCAGCTAGCAAAGTGGAAGGGTTAAGTTCATCCCTGTCACTCAGTGCCAGCAGCATCAAGTGCCGTCCGTTAGAAAGAAAAGGCAGTGTTGGCGTGTCTTCACGGGTATATACCGCAAAATCCCGATTCCAGCAGCCAAGTGCTGCAACTTCACTTCCGGCTCTGGCTCTAGTAGAGGTAGAAGTGCAACCACAGTCACTTAAAGATGGGAAGAAAATTGCTGAAGTGAAGAGAAATGTTCCTACATTGACATTTACACAGAGAAACAGTACTAGTATTGCCAAGATGAAGAAGGATGTCAAAGATATTAAAGAAGATAACAATAAAAAGTTGCTAAAATCGATCAAAACCTCATCGCTTTCAAATAAAAATGTAAACGGAGAAGGAAAGAATGAGAAACACATAAAATCAGAAGATGCTGGTAACAAAAGAATTTCCAAAATTACATTGGATTCTGATGACAACAGAGAAAAAGGACATTTAGCACAAACTTTGATGAAGAAAGACAATGATGAATTAGAAATTATTGACTATAAAATTGAGGATGAACAGGAAGAAAAAGTTGTTAGGTAATGTCATATGTTAAAATCATCTCTTTGATATTATGTGGATAGAAAGGTGGAATAAACATGGATTGATGGAGGGACCAAGAGTTAGATGGATAGAGAGTATTTATAACATTTCATATTACACTCAACTCTTGATTATCTGGGATAATGGTGGGGATGGAAATCAGGATTAATCGAAAACCCGGTTAAGACAAATATTATTAAAAGTAGTACTGTAATACTTTACCTTCATAATACTATAGGCCTACCTGTATATAAATTTATTCAACCTCATTTTTATGTCATCTCATGGCCTATTTAGTACTTTTTTTACATTACACTGAAGTATGAATTAGTTATTTCAATCAGTGTTCAACAACATCCAACACTTTTTACGAATATTCACACTTAACACTTAAAGAAATTTAATATTGTCATTTGCTTTTTCACGGCATTTTTCTTTTTACGGATATCCGTACGAAGCCTACGTAATATTAGCTTGTCACTTAATATACTGTTCTCTGCACTCTCAAGACAGTCTAGTAACGATTCCAAATGATTAAGAGCAGCACCATGTGATATTTTCTTACTAGCAGCACTGTCCACCTCTTCCTCATTCTCACTTTCATCCCGCTATTCTGGCTGCACCCCAACTGAACTTATGATTTCGTCACTGCTTAACATTTCGAAGCCTGGCTCACATGAGTCACAGTCAAACCACTCTCTTATATTTTCCTCGATGACTTCTTCACCACCATGAACTTGGTTAGACAAGTTTGTCAGTTCTATGGCTATATCATTTTCACTGAATCCATGGATTTTGTCATCTTCATTAGTGATGAAAGGCATCAGTTTCTTCCATGAATTTTTCAATACAGATGGCTTTACTGTATCCCACACAGTTGAAATCTCATATGACATCTAACATTGAAAAAGACTTCCAGAAACACGTCAGATCATTGCCTTCATCGATGTGCTTTTGTAGCAAATTTGATCTGTAGATTCTCTTCATACTTGAGATAACTCCTTGATCCATTGGTTGGATAAGTGTGGTAACATTAGGAGGAAAATATTTCACAAAAATATTTCCATCATCTGACCTCAGGAGACTTTCGTTAGGATGTGAGGACGCATCTTCAATGAGGAGCACAGCTTTCTCGGGTAAGCCTTGGGATTTTAGATGGTCACGAACTTGAGGCACAAATTTAAAATCAAATGATTCTTTAAATATTGCTCTATTCATCCAAGCTCCTTTCTGATTAAAATAAAGGATAGGCAGACTCGAAGCTACTGTTCCTTTAAAAGAAGGTGGTCTTTTCACTTTGCTGATAACTACTGGTGTTCGTTTGTGTTTTCCTGATGCATTAGAACAGCACAAGGCTGTCAGTCTCTCCTTACTGGATTTGTGACTTGGAGCCTGTCTTTCATTTTGAAATGCGAACGTTCTGGTTGGCAAGCATTTCCAATAAATACCCATTTCATCGGCATTATAGATTTGTATTAGAGTCAATTTTACCGGCCACACAACATATGACGTGTGGTCGGTAAAATTGACTCTAATGTTAATTAAATACACAACAGGATGCAAGAAACAATTAAAATTATAGATTTGTTCTGGCAGCAGATTTTCACTTTTCACGAAACTATCAAAATTGGTGCAAAATTGAACTGATGATGACAAGTCCCCTGACAGTTTCTCACCTTGAATACTAATTTCTCGTATTCCATGACGCTGCTTGAAATGTGTTAGCCAACCGGAAGAAGCATCAAAACTTCCTTGTAGTTCAAGTGCTTCAGAAAAAATTTTTTCTTGTTTAGCACGAACTGCTCCTGTTATTGTTGATCCCTGTGCCCCTACAAGGATTTCATCACAGAGTCCTCATTAAGCTTTAGATTGCAGGCTGTGTGTGTGTGTGTGTGTGTGTGCGCGCGTGCGTGTGCGTGTGTCCTGTCTAGTTAGAATAAAGTTGCATTCTTTGTTGCTGTTCACTGAAGATATGGGTATCTTGGATAGGGCAGGACTGAGTACTCTATTCCTCAGTCTCAAATCAGCATTTCAGTCTCACCATGTGGTGGTAAGCTCGAAGTTGAAGGAAGAGGCTCTCTGACATGAGGCAGTCAAAGCTTTTCTCTGGAGGACCTTTGGATAAACTCTTAGGGATCTGTTCACTTTTGACCATATAGGCTGGTAACAGAATTGTAGGCTGTCTGTGATACACTGAGGCACCGTCTGTTGGAAAAGGCCTTGTGTAGGAAATGTGGGGAGAAGGAGGAATTCTCATACCACACACATCAGTTCCCATCTTTGACTTAGCATGGAATAGAGATATGATTGAATCTGATGGATATCAGGAGGGTTTCAGTCAGGATGGTTTTGGCTGTAGCATTACAGTCAGGGCCCTTTGTAGGACCGTAACAAGATCAAGGGTGCATAGTGGATCCAGTAAGGTGAGAGTGTTTGTGGCAGCTGAGGTTGTCCCCTCAAGTAAATACAGATATGAATATTGAAGCTGTAGGTCCTCTCTACTGGCCATCCAGGGACACTAGTGTCTGCCTCCACTGTTACCGTATCTTACCAATTGACTTTGCTGTGGAAGGTATATGTTATAAAGCCAAGAAGACCATTGCCACAGTAACAACACTACTTCTGGAAGTACAGTTAAGACTTAGCCTTGGTATCAGCTGCTCTCTAAACATTTTATCCCATGTGCTGTGTGTTTTGATAGCACATTTATGTTGGGATCTATGGGAAATTCACTGACAGAATCATAATTGATGGAGTTAATGATGTTATGCTACGTCCTCATACCTTCTCCTCCTCCTCCTCTTCCTCCTGTCTCCATGACAGTCGAGCATGTTCCAACATCACATACTTCTTCCATCTTTTGTGAGGTCTTTAGTTCTGTCAAAGTGGTGGTTCAGATTTTCCCAGTGATCATCTGTTTAGCACCGATTGAATTTTCATAAACTTAATGAGAAAATTTCTTACATGTGATATATTTAAATTGATTTCATTGCTTTTCATATTAATATAGATGTAACACGTTGCTTTTCTTTAATTTAAACATAACTGTATATGTCTCCTTTTAGGAAAAATAGTACCGATGCAATAATATTGGATGTTCAGCTTGAAGATATTCTAGAAGAGAAGAACTTGTTCAATGAAGAAGAGCTCAGGAAAAGTAAGGAATTGTGTGCAGAGGAAGCAATGCTGAGGAAAGAAATTTATGAACTAGAAAGTACAGAAATTGAGGTAAATATAATTTTAATATCTTTTTGCATATATATAAATGTGATATTCACAGATAAGATTAATGGCTCTCATATGTCATTTCACTTTTTATCTTTCTGAGATTATGATCCATTCACATTTTCGCCATGGTGGTACATCCTATGACAGCCTTCTTCACTCTTCTCTCTCCTATTCATATGAGCCTTCATTCTGTATCTGTGGCTGCTATTTCTCTGCTCTGTTTTTTATATCCTTGATTTTTCTGCCATGTCCTTGGTTTCCCATGTTACATATTTGAATTGTCATTTTTGAGGCTGTTAGATGGTTATGCATGTGTAACACATCTCTGTATGACTTCCCAAATTTGGCCAACTTTTCATGGATGTGTATGTATTTATGTGTGTTTTTGTGCATGTGCCTATGCATGACTGTGTGTGTGTGTGTGCTCACGCATGCACGTATGAGAGAGAGAAGAAGCTGGAGAGTGAGTCAATATTTAAAACAATGATATCACACCAGCGACCTTTTAGTATTATGTATGACATCCTATCACAAACAAACTCTCCCCTCTTAACTGCTGATATGATTCTCTATGTACTAGAAAACCTGTACCTAATTCATGATTCTCAGTCCCCTTTCCATAGAAAAATGTATATTCACCTGCTGGTTCCTTACCACCACTGTCCCATATGATGTCCTATACTCCCATTAAATTTAACTTATATTTTGATATTTCTTTCTCCATCATCTTCAGTGAACCTACCCCCATAGACTTCTTGCTTTCCATGTCCTAAATCTTATGCCTCTTTAGCCTTGTCTTTTAAAAGAAAAATTATTGTCATGTTAGGGAGTGTGACTATAGATGGGGTGTCTGTTGGTAATTGGTTTTATTGACCAATTTCTGATCGTAACTACAAATAATTATAGTGCTGTTGCTAATTCACTGACTCTGCAGTTCACATACTACGTTTTCTCAGTTTATTTTCACTAGCTGTTTCTTGGTAATGTATCCTAACAGGGTCCTCTGCTTTTGTCCTTACTGACTGGCAAATGCCTCACAACTGACTAAACTCAAAGTCAAAGTCACTTTGCGACTGATGGTCAGTCAGTCAAGATAGGGCTCATGACCAGTTATTTATTACTGTTTGACAGTTATGGCCTTGTTTGGTGGGGGGCTCTCTAATGAGAGGACAGATCTGTTTTGTATATCCTGCTGGCAGTTGCCAGTACAGTCTTTCTCGGGTCTGAGTCCCTTGAGACTCGCGACCATATTTTACTGCCTCAGACTTGAGACTACCCTTTTCGTCGCCTCCTGCAACTCGCAGGGTAAAGGTCTCCACACAAGAGGACTGACTGAACTGTAAACTTATCCCGCTTATAACCCCTTGGCACGGACTGCATAGAGAACACTGTTCCTCTGCTGCTGTTCAGTTGTTTCCAAGGGATCATGTCTGTTTGAGAAACCGTTACTCAGTAATGGCTGTTGTATATTTGCATGTCTCACGCTCATTGCCCAGCAACAGGTCCACATGCTACATTATAAAAAAATCTATTTGCACTTCTGTTACTATTATAAAAAGTCAGTAGATACAGGAAACCCATGAAATACTTGCAGTACAGATGTGAAGACTGTAGAATTTGCCGCCATCCTTTCTGGTTGTAGGCATGCTGTCATATTCGATGTTTTGGCTGGTATTGCAGCTATCTACCGCTTTTCACTTTTTTCATCAAATTTCCTGGCTGATTGTCCAAGAGATGAAAATAAATCTTTATCCCATGGTCATAAACAGGTGATAGGTTGACATGACAATGGTGTAGGGCTTTACAGATGGACTACTTTGAGAACAGGATTAGGCTATAATTTGGGTTTGGGGAGTTAATGTAGCAGTATTGTGGGAAACCCATAACTGAATTGAATCATATATGCTTAATTTGACACTTGGATGCGTGTAAGTTGCCTTGTTACTGCAACTGTTGACCGAACCTGTTTGTGTCACTGCTACCTCCTGACCACCCCATTGCGTGGGCCACCCTCACATAGTTCCCTTTCCAGAAGCGCACATTCCTTTCTCTTAAGAGACATTGCATCTGGGCCTGTTGTTGCCTTCCATGGGATCAGTGCATGCAGACTGGACTCCAACAATCAGGCAACCACCTGCATCCAGCAGTTCCTAAAATACTTGTAATTGATTGGGAGGATGAATGTATGGTTAAAAGTTTGTAGATAAATGTACTGTAATATAACAGAATTAACATTGTGGAAATAGGACTCACCACTTCTCTTAAATGTTAATATATTTATTAGTATTTTTAAGTACGTGGGTTACTTCAAAAGTCATGGCAACTAATTTTTGGGGGGGCAAACACATTACATTGAAGAAAGTTCAAAATATACTTATGAAAGGGCATGATGTACCCCTCTGACTGGCTTAGTCAGATCAGGTAGATGTGAAGGGGCGTAGGTATAGTAGGCAAGAAAAATTGCACATTACGGAATGACCTTTTTTTCATTCTTTAATCCTCAAAAAATTCAATTGTGATTAAGAAATAAAAAACCCAATAAATCAGTGTTTCATGTTTCATCGATGGAAATTATCCGATTCAAGAAATTGTGTCCTTCAATTTCATATCGTTCGAGGTTCACACAACTTGTTTCATAACATGTCCACTTTTGAACTTCGTTTAATTCGTGTGCAATCTTGTGCATGTGTAGGTGTTTTCGTAAAATTCGATGCACAGTTGCCTGCTCAATCCCTGTATGTCTCTCTAACTCCTTCAGTGACCAGTGCCTATCTTCCTCCATGCACTGGGTGATCACGGCATGAGAAACATCGGTATGAACGGACACAGGGCGTCCCCTACCTTGCAAGTCGGCATTTGCTTCTCTTCCATGTTGGAATGCTTCTGTCCACCATGCAACAGTTCTGTATGGTAGAGCACGATCAGCCAGAGCTTCCACAAGCTCTGAGGGACATTCATTCACATTTCTGCCGTGAAGCACTGCTATTTTCACATAACAACACTGTTCCAGCCGTCTAATGTTCATTCTTGACGAAGGTTATGATCACACTGACTTCGCGCTGGACTCGCTTTGTTGTCCTTGGACTTCCGCATCATCTAGCAGCATCATTAGAAATCAGACGTTGCTGTCTCTCAGCTACAATTTTGGAAATTTTGGTTGGAGCTTTCAAAATTTAGGAAAAATTATGTTGCCATGACTTTTGAAGTAAACCACGTATATTTATAATCTCACACCATACCAAGCTGTAAATTTCCATTTGGAATAGTGCATGTTGCCATAATGAAATTGAAAAGGAATTTACTATTTTCCCCTCCAAGTTCTTTGATAGTGAAAGGTGAAAATTCAGTACCACACTGTGAAGTGGAAAATTGACTGTAGAATTCTGTTTGGATGATTGTATGATGCTAATTAACAGGCAGACACAGAAACAGATGAAACAGAAACAGATGGAGAGGCAACAGTTGGACCGGAAGAGGATGACGAAGAACGGCAGAAGGAAGTGACAGAAATTCAGAACAGCTTGATTCCAGAAGACACCATGACATTGGAAGCACGATATGAAACTCAGTTAGAGGGTATGGATATTTGATTAGTTGGGTACTGATGGAACTTTCTGAGGTATTTTTACTATAGAGTATGCAAAATTACACAGCACATTGTACTGTTTTCTTTCCTTAGATATACTCACATGCTAGAGCGACTCTTGATGGGGTTTTGGATTGGTGATTGGAATTATTGACATGCAACTTGTGACTACACTTAACACTTCGCGGACCAGACGCCTAGGCCTAGGCGTTTGGGTTTTAAATGTGGCAGACCTGTCGTCTAGATTTAGGCTTTTAGGACACGTTATGTTGCAACACACTATTCCTCGCTTTGGTGACCACGTGTCTGTAAAAGTACTGTGTAGTTGACCTTCGGAATGTTTGTTTTCCGAGTCAGCAACGTGACCACTCTCTATTCCCCTCTCACTCTAAAGAAAAGTCCCTTTGTTCAAGTTGAAGCTTCTATGTGTGAGGCAAGATATTCTCAGGGTCAACATGGCTCAGAGATGAAAGCAGTTGAAGGCCGTGCGAGCTCTCGGAGAAGAAGAATCTGTGATTTGATCTCTGATGAGTTATCTGACTTGCCAACTGCTTCGTCTTCTGATAGCGAGGGCAGTGTCAGTGGCAGTGACAGGGGCCCCCAAAATATTGTGACCAGAAGAGAAAGTGAATGTGACGGTGAGAGCTCCGATGAAAGTGCGAGTGCTAGCATTGTGGGGACAGCCACATGGGGTAAAGTGGACAAAACACCCACTTTGGGAAAGTTTACTGGTGATCCAGGGATGAGACAAATGCCATCGGACCCTACGCAAGTGTCTGAACAGGATGAAGGGGGACATTCTTCTTCAGTCCTGGAGGGATACTCGCGTTGTGAATATGATTTCCACTGTTCACAATTCGAGCGTGGTCGATGTTCAAAGACGACATGGGCAAGTGAAGAAGAAGCCTCTTTGTATTTCTCAGTACAATATGTTCATGAAGGGAGTTGATAGAGCCAACCATTACTTGGCCTATTATTCCCTTCCTAGGAAAACAGTAAAATGGATGAAGAAAGTTGCCTTGTGGCTTATAAATTGTGCCCTTTTCAATTCATTTTTGGTTTTCAAAGAGCTAAACGAAAATTCAACTTTGAAATACAAGGCATTTCTCATGAATTTGGCAAAAGCCTGGGCTACAGACCTCACGGTGGCGGCAGAACCTGTGTCAGACACAGACGTAGTACGACCGGGACCATCTAGTCCCACCCCATGGAGGCCTCATATGGACCCCCTTAGGTGACTCTCGGGTGATATGCAGAAACATACCCTCGTGAAAATTGTGATGAGTGAACAATCGACGGGGAAGTATCCTTCTAGGCAGTGCCGTGTGTGCGCCGTGCACAAGAAGCGAAGCAAGACTTCCTACGTCTGAAAGTTCTGCGTCATGCCTCTTCACAGAGGGGAATGTTTCCAGAAATATCACACTCTGAAGCACTTCTAGGAGCTCTGGTAAGTCTTCTCCAAAAATTTTAGTTCATAAATTAATTAGGAGATTTTATATTAATTTTTAAAGTGAACAGTGCACAAGTTAGGGTAGTAGGTTTAAAAACACCAGTCCCCAGGGCGATTTAAATATTTAAATCACCGGTCTGCAAAGTGTTAATTATAGTGCCATTCCTAATCTCCCCACTTTACAGATCACTACAGTACATGCCAAGTCTTTTCAGTTTCGTGTGTCTTCACCAATGGTTGCTTGGTAATGGCTTCAGCATTGGCTATTCGTCTGCGGCAATGCTCAGTTCCTCTTCGAATGGCGGCTCCTTTACGAGGGGGGACCCAAAAATAAGGAATTTATTTTTGTTATTTTTTATTTTTGCATTTTTATTGAACTGTATATTAGTCCCCTTCAAAGTATTGTCCATGTGCATTAATGCACTTGTCCCAACGCTTTTGCCACTGCTCAAAACAGTGCTGGAATTCTTGAGGCTGGATACTGTTCAAAGCCTTTAGCGTGTTTTCTTTGACTTCATCCACATCACGGAATCGCTTTGCTTTCAGACTTCTCTTCATCCGTGGAAACAAAAAAAAAGTCCGGAGCCAGGTTGGGTGAGTAAGGTGGATGAGGCACAATCACCATGTTGTTGCTTGTCAAAAACTGTCAGACCGTGAAA